GGATGTGAACGGCGAGAGAAGGGAGAAACTAGCGAACGGGAGAATGGGCGAGGGTGAGATAGAAACGGAGTGCGCGTTTGCGAGGGAGGCGAGACGAGAGGAGAGAGTTCCGCGGCGGCGACTGTGGATCAATAGGGGTGGTTTTCAGCGGCGCGCATGCGAAACGGGTGAACCAATGGTCGCGCGAGGGTAGTTTCGACGAGCGGTGCTCTGCTGCCCTTGGGCGAAGAAGGAGGCGACAGAGTGCGCGGCGACCAGGGCCGTCGACGAGAGAGGGCACCCTCCAATGAGAACATTCCACGTTGGACTATTTTTTTTTCTTGCTACCCTTTTTCGCTAATTTGTTTCTTTTTTTCGTCGTTTCGACTGGCGAAACCTTGCTGGCCCGGCCTGTCGTATCGGGAAACTCCGAATCACCGATAGAGAACTGCTAACGGGAAGACGCGGAGGGAACTGGAAGCCTCGAGGATTGAACAAGATCGCGCGCGTACATCGTGAAAACCGGTTGGTTTCGGAACACGGAGACGGTCGGAGAAGCGCACGATGGGGGCTGGGTGAAAATAAAAAAGAAAAATTCGTCGAACCTGTCCGTAACAGTTTCGTATTCGCGTCGGGGCGCGTGCACGGCTGTTTGTCGAGAGGACTCTACGTTGTCCGGATATGCATGCTTTCCAATGTCAGACAAGAACAGAAGCCTGTTCGTACGGATATCACGTATCGGCGCGACGCGTAGCATGCAGATTTCTGCATCTCTCTGTCTTCGTTGGTCGTGTTCGTGCGGTGTGCGGCCAGGCTCGGTTGGCTGCACGGTTAGCCTCGACTTCCCATGAACGACTGGGCAAACCGACAACTGTTTCACGATCGAGGAACGCGATAGTGTATTCCTTTTTTTTTTCTTTTTTCTTTTTGTTCTCCGTCTCGAATATAACTCGTCACGGAAAATTATGGGGAATTTTCCGAACAATCGGCGGTGGGGGGGTGGGGGGAACGAAGCAATTACCCCTGGCTCTGGTCCATTGAAACGGTTTATTCATCGCGAACGCCATTGGAATCCAAGAAAGCTTCTCGAGTTGGTGGTCCTTCGGTTATTTTTACCATAGTTTTTTTTTTTTGTCGTTCTCGAGAAACTACCCTCTACGAGTTCTCGACCCGAAAGACGTCACTGCCACGCCACGGGGTTAGTCGTCTTGGTCGAAGGGTGAAAGACCTTCGATCGAACGAGCGGCTACTGTCCATGAATCGTCAAGCATGCTCCTTACACTATCATTGACGACAGTTACGCGAATTACTCGCAACCGTCGATTAAATCCGTTGACAAAGAACGATACTTTCTTTACGTTGCTCTATGACGAATACCCGTAACGACGGAGTCCTTCGACGAGGCTGAATATTAATAAGGGAACGTAGCAATAGCAACTTCTCTCGTCGAGCGTATCTATGTATATACGTTCCGCGGGGTGGGTTATGCACGAGCGTGGAATATTATCGTATTACCGTCGTTGCCATAGAATTCTGGCGCACGCTTCTAACACCACTACCGTTACTGCTGCTGCTGCTGCTGCTGCTGCTATATGGAAACGGGGGATTTGATCCTATCGCTTTGCGTTTGCGTTATCTAACGTATCGATATTTAACGAGTGGCTCTCAAAGGCACCACCGCGGCTGCCATCATAGTGGCTGGTTGCTGTTCATCCGTGCGCGGGCGCGGATGATGCACGTCCTCGTGAAACGATTTTCCCTACGAACCGCTCCGCTAAGCCGTTCGTAATTAAAGGATTAATCGTACTCCGTGATTACCACTCGCCAGGCGTCGAAAGGATCCTGCGCGCGACACTCGTCGCTCGTGTTCTTTTTTTCACACGCACCGATGTAACATCCGATGTGTCTTGTTACATCTTATTCTGGCCAGGTAAAAAAGTGTTGGCGAGATTACGTTTAAGAGGTTGTCGTCACGTAGGTATTTTGCGGCGAACGTTTTCCAGGTTGACAGATTTCACCTGTACAAGCTTTTATCGAAGATTCCCCGAACTGTCGGCGAGAACAAATTATCGACTTGTCGCGTCGTGGGACGAAGCGGGGAAGACTGGTCGCGGGCGTTAACGAGAGTAAACGTGGAAATTTATTTACCGAGTAGCGGAATCGCCACCGATAATTAGCGGTTACGAGCTCCTCGATTTTATCGTGGCAATAATTGAAAATTGCTTTGCACTCCGCAGTCTGTCTTTCTCTCTCGTTCTTGCAACACGTTGAAAGGGCACCTCACGATCGGGACGATCGCAGACTCGGGTATCGGCCGCCGTCGATCTCCTTGTTACCAATTAGTCCATGGTTGTAACGGGTGATTATGCGCTGCTCGAGCACCCCATGATAGCCCGTTGTCAATAATAAACGAGGGAAGAGATTCCTCTGGATGGTACGTCGTACACGGACACGATCGATCGATTCGGACGAAGGTCGCCTCGAGACATCCTCTTAAGGATAGTAATCCGTCTCTCCTTTGCTCGACTTTCCGTCCTCCTGGTGGACCCTTTGGTCGGGGAGGAATTCGCCGTTTGACATAAATATGAGAGAAGACGATAAAGCTTACGATCCACTTCTGTCGATTGGCTGAGGTGTTCCAAAAGTAACAGCTCTTCGTTACCAGACAATTCCATGTATTTCGTAACTGATATCGAAATCTTTTTCTAATTCAACGCGTGTATATATCTAAACGGAGACGAGATCCCATCGTCAGAAACCAGTCGCCATGGTCAGTGATCCGTGACGACATTGGTTAGCACCTGTGTGTATAGACATCGCGAGGAGAGGGGGTTTGCGAAGGCCAGGTGTAAACGACCCACGCGACCATTCACCCTTCTCTCCAACCCTTCGGTAAAATTTCACCGTGGCAGGTGCAGCAGGCGTCGTCGTGTCCGGAACCGAGATAACGCTGAATCGGTTGGATGACGAGTTCCCCGATTGAAATTCCGTGGCCGGTTCGCGCTCATTAGCGGGTTCACGCTGTCACGAATGGTGCAACGGCTAATTGCGTATCGGTGCTAGTCGATTGAAAATTATCGCGAAATCTGTCGGGGGGAGGGCAACGGTGAAACGTCGCGAAGGATACGAGAAAAAAGGCGACAGTTTAGGTTCCAGTCGATGGAATCGCAATAGCACCGTATTGGCCCAGAAAAATCTGGCAGCAGGCGGTGAAGAGAAAAGGGGGAGAGGGGGAGAGCAAAAAAAAATGAGCGAGGGAAAGGCTGGCTCTCACCTTCGCCGGCGATCTCGCAATTACCGTAGTCACGAGGATGACCAACGTTAAATTTTCAACCGGCCCCGATAGCCCAAGATATTAGCAGGCCCTCGCGATCTTTCGACTGACATTTAAACGTTGCTAAATGGGTGTTACGGCCGAGAAAGGCTGCGGACAGTACGGGCCGAGGAAACTTTAAATTAGCCTTGTTTCTGGTGGTGTTTAATATTACTCGAGGATGTCTGGGCCGGGGTTAAGAGCCCCAGTTAAGACTAGACGATACCATTTGTCGTACAACTGATCGTACAATCTAGATCGCTTCGACCTGTGCAACTTGTACGACAAATCTTATCGTCCATGGGAGCCTTTGCAACCGTGTTCTAAACATTCCATCGAAGCTAGTCGGCACCACGGAGAAGAAAACTTTTGAACACTACGTCGAAATGTGAACACGTCCCGTATCGCGTGCACGGGAACGTTACCGTATCTACAACAAAACCGCACACTTGGAAGTCCACTGTCCTCGGAGCTGTACCCATCCGAGAATCTCACGGTGTCGCACTACGAGAACATTCTGGTGCAGCTTCCTCAGCCGGCCTCGATCTCTGACGACGGGGCAAGTTCTTCTGTGCCCAGGCCGCGAAAAACTGGCCGCTCGTTAGATTCTCAATCGCAGCGAAGAGGAAACAGCGGTGTCGTGTGGACTCGTGGGGAGCGAACTCGCGTGGCCGCGCCGCGCCATCGAGAAAAAGAGTCCATTTGCCACGTGATTTGACCGGTGGCCAGGGCGGTTAACGAGCAGACGCGCGGGGATGGTTGGCTGGTCGCCGATGGAGACGGTTCTTCTCGCTGTGGCGCCCCCGTTTTGTCAGTTCGGCGTTTCTTTTTGCGCGCAGCCTCGCCTTCCCCGTGGTGGCGGTTGATGTCGACGACGACGACGACGGTGACGACGTGCGCGCGCGCAGCCCAGTTTGAAATTCGTGGCGCGCCGCGTCGCGCGGATTCTCCTCGGGGGCTGTGTGCGCGTTCCTTCCTCTCCCGGCTTTCGTTCCACGTCCGTTCGTTCGTTGGGTTCGTTCGCGTTCGCTCTCGTCCGTTCGGCTCCGCTCGTGCAAGTCGATGTAAGGTCGGTCGGTCGCGGGAGTGTCGTCGTGCTCTCGCGAAGGGAGTGCCACCGCGCGGTCTTCCCGACCGCCTTTGCCTCGATTCCGGCAAAAAGAAGTAAACAAATACATACGAGGAGGCTAGAGCCGGGCGGATCCTTAGGATGTTGCTGTTTGCCCTAGTGACGGGTGTCACCGTGGCCCAGCGGAATCCACGACACGCGGCCACGTTTCTTCCTTGATCGAGGAGTGTCCCCCCCACCAAAAGAGACCTTCTTAAGGACTGTTCGGAACGGTTACCCCGAGCAACGTCCGAGTGTATCTTGTGGTTCGTGAACGTTTTCCATCGATCGACACAGAAGAGCCCACCGGAGACACGAGGACAAGGGCAAGTAAACGCGAAGTGGGTGTACGGAGGATATTCGTTTGATATCTGTCAGCTTTCGGACTGAACGGTACCGAGGATCGAGAGTCACGCTCTTCTCGTCGTCTGTTTTCGGGAGTGTGACGAGCGATCGTTGAGAGTCCCAGGCGTGTCCTCGAGTTGACAAACACCACGGTGTGGGGAATAGCCGAGAGACAGACGCGTTGTCATCGAAAAGATGACGAGACGCGTCCGGGGCCGGTAGTTCGTGGTTGGGCAGGGATGATGTCCCCGTGACATGTTACCCCGTGACCATTGCTGGCGCGACTACAACGTCCTCCGCGGAGAGGGTCGTCCGCCGGTGCACGGATCGGCCGAGGATAACCGGCGATCGTCGTCGGTGTCCTATCATCCACGTGGGGTCGAGTACCGGCTGCTACCAGTGGTGCAGCTGAAACCCGACTTCGGGATCCCGTATGTCCTCTGCTGGCGTGTCCCGAGCGCGATCCAACGGATCCAGATACCTCTTCAGCATCATCACCATCATCATCAGCACCGGCAGCATCGGTATCAACACCACCATCGTCAGCGACGTCGTCGTCGTCGACAGATTCAGGGAACACCTCGAAGGTACCCTGCTGTCCCTTTCGCGACCACGGCGAGGTATCCGTCACCGTACGGCTGCGGTTTGCAGCACGGCAACCCCCTTCCCGCGGTGCCTGGTATGGAAACAAGGTGAGTACCGGAGAATATAGTTTCAGTCGTGCTCGAAGCATCTCGCAGGAGATGCGCATGCCAGCCTTTGATTATTATCGTTGGCAAAATTGTCGCACGCTCCCCCGGCGTCTCGTTCCGCGCGACACACTCGGATATTTCATTGTCCTGATTAGGACGCGCCGCCGCGGGGCACCCGAAGGAACTTTGGAAAATTAAGTTTCATCGTGGCTGAATTGCTGTCCTCTTTGAAGTTTCGATTAGTTTCACTTCTGTACCCCGAGATTTCCTGAACGTCGCGCGTCCCTAATTGCAGCATTTCTTCGCGCTGAAACCTTACCGTTGGATAGAATTTCTTATCGAGGTGCTTTGGAAATCTGGTCGGAAGGATTCCACGGAAGAAAAACCGACGAAGGTCATTTCTGATATGTTGGGCAGCTGGGTGAAGGCAAGATGCAGTTTCGCCAATCCCAATTCCTTCGCGTTTCCCAATTAAACGCCTCGACGCTCCTAAGTTCGCATAGGAAACACTTCGCTCCACGAACTATCGAGTTTACGCGATATGTTAATAAGGGCCCCCTCCACGTTTTCTGGACCCTTTTGCCAGACTACGCTGTGTCGTTCGGCAGACCTCCGCGTTCGTCGAGCACACAGCACACCCTTGTCCGCTTCTGACAGCGAAATAGAAACATTTCGTCGTCACCTCACGACTACGAAATTCGACGCCGAACAGGTGTCGGCACAATGGCGGAGTAAAGTTTCCGATTAGCATACAGCGTGTGGCCGGAGTCAACGTTCATTCCCTCGACCTCGCCAGGGCGATGGTGTACAAGCACGTGTCGAATCGCGCACCGGTTGTCTCCTGGATCCTCGTAAACCTTCCTCCCTTTCTATATACTTCGTAATTCAAGAGAAATTCATCTTCGTAAGTCACGTCAAAAAGATACGATACTACGACTCCCTACCCCATTAAGTCTTGGCACGCACGAAAATTCGACGCTCCCCAGCACCGTTCGCGTCTCTGTGTGGTTTCTTCTAACAAGTCAAAAAACTAAGTCGACGACGCCTGCTGCGCTCGCTTGTTCGTTCTCGACAGATTTCTTCGTTCCACGACCTCCCGCTGCTCCGGACAGTGAACTCCAAGACGAGGCGGGCAACCGTTTCTTTGCAACCAGACTCGAAAAGTGGAGCGATCCCCATCCCGACTGTCTTCTCCACCCGCGTATCCGACCGGAATATTAATCGAGCCGTTTGTCCGCGAGCTCTTATGATCCATAAATAATATTCGTGCTGAATACGTTTCCGAAACCGTGCTCGAATATCAATGCGAGCTAACACCCCGACACGCGTAACCCCATTCCCTTCAGGTGAATTCTAGGCGAACGTTTCTTCATTCTTTATTTTGCTTTTTAAATGATCTTTGGTTCGAGAGTCTTCTTTTTCGTCGACGGAGAATTCGTTACGCGTCGTCGGCGGAAGAGCTACGGGGAAAAAGTGGCAAGAATCGCGAAGCAGAGTAGAAGGATTTTCGCTGACCGTGTTCACGGTAAACCATTTCCGGCAGCTGAGCTGGCAACTGGCCGCGGTTTAAAAGCTCTCTCCCCCGAAGCTATCAGCGATTTCTTTACAAGTTTTTACGTCCGTCGTCCCGCGAGCCGTCCGAGATGGAAAGCATTTCTTCGATGAATCCCTCGATTAAGAGCTTCGGTGGGTCTGTATTTTTCCCCCCGGTTGTTATTACCGATCGCATTCGAACAACTCCATGCACCGGTTCGAGAGAGACCAGAAATGATTTTTCGATCGCCATATTTCTCTGGAGCAATTTGTTTTCAGGATGATCGCGATACACAAACACACACGTACACCCGTCGCGTCGTCCTGTGATCATTGTCATCGACATGCGGTAAAAAATATCGTGAATCGTATCGTCGTCGGTGTGCGTCGACAGAGTTGTTATTGCTCTGGTTAAAAATGAACGAGCTGTGTCGGTCGGCGGTGACCCACACCGTAGTACATACACAAGAGACCCGGCAATTTATCAAACATATTAAGCGTTATTCATACCAGTGACGTGGCCGCAGTCGCACGATAGACGACGGGGAATATTCAATTAACGCCGTGTGTGTGTGTGTGTGTGTAGGCCGACACCTGCCAATTCCTCAACTTTTTCTCTTTCTCCCCGTGTATACATAATTCAGCCTGTACTGTCGTTGAACGTGTCTCTCTGTGTCGCATTGAACGATTCGAAAACCGAGAGTAGACTTATCGCAGGTGTTGTCCACCAACCCGATAAAAGCAAAATTTAGTTCGATATCGTACGATAACAAAATGTTGCTGCTTCGTGGGCACCGAAATTTTTATCGGTTCACCTGAGGGGAAACTTTCGTTTCCACCGGGTCGTTCTTATCCCCTCGGGTGTATCTGTCTCTCGAACTCGTAAAGTTGCTACAATTTTATTCGAGAAGGAAAAGCACAAACGGTGCCCCTCGACCATCGGGCGTTTTAACGTATCGACCTCTCTCTTTCATCTCGTGCTGCCCTTCGTTCCTCGGCGAGGCGGCGACCTCTTCGAAAACTTCTCGGGGCCCGTTGAAAGATTTCACGGACATTCCAGCCGGCCTATATTACGAGCGAAGCGATTTATGCGGAGTCTCGGCCCGATTAGATACACTTTTTTATTTTTTATCACGGAGATCTGAGCCAGCGAACGAGCGGGGCGGCCATTACGCTAGGTCGGCCGAAGATTCATGAGGGTACACCGGTTTCAAGGGAGCATGTAATTTCTGTGGTCGCCAGGGGGATGGGAGGAAAACTGGCGTCGAAGAAAATTCTAATTTTTCAGGGACGCGTTCGTGTGCCAGGGAAAGCGGCAGCGGGGTCGCGGCTGAAATTGCAACGTTCACGAAAGCCCGGCCAGCCGTTATCGATCCCCTCCGGCTTGTCCGTGGTGTTACTGGCTCCGCGCGTACGTATGTATGTACGTGCTCGTTATCGCCCTCTTAAAGCAAACGACACTTTATCTGGATAAACGGTGAATAAAACGGACAGAGAGAAACTAGCCTGATACCGTACGACACAGAGATTCCTGGTCATGACGTCCCTTCACTGGGACAAGTTCACCCTTATTGCGGATTCAGACGCAAGGGAGGGATGAATCGTGGAATGCTTGAGATTTTTTATTCTCTTTTTTAACTCTCCTCGGTTCAGGCGCCTCCACTCGGATCATCCGGTTTCGATTCTCCGATTTCCCGGCTGGCGTGTGTTTGCGCCTCTAGGTACGCTCGCGAAGAGACACCAAAGGAAGGTAACACGGAAATTGACCTGCTTAGGCGCGCGTAAACACATGTACAGTGGAACAGGTTCGTCTTAGTCAGACATCGCGCATCGCAAACACGAGGAGTTCGGAAGGCGTTGCTCGGTTGTTTGATGTGATTCCGAGTACAAAACGATTGATTTCGTTTCCCTGATGATTACAATTATTATCACGATGAAACTGTTCACACAATGACACAAGATTTATCGAGGGTGTCGCAATCGGCGCGGTTATTAATACACCGACTTCGGACGGGATTCCTTCTGCACATCCGGTGGGAGTCTTGTTCGGTCTTAACCTTTACCACGCAAACACGTCGATTATGTATCATTATCGCGGCAATTAGAAATTCATTGAACGACCGGGCAAGATGAATGATTTTCTAATAGCCAGTCTCCTCGACGGTGGCCAGGCGGGAAAATGTTAAACGACGGACACCATCGTGCGTTCTCTCTGGAAAGGATGCACGTAATTGAAAAACTAGCTGCGGGTACTGTTCGATGAGATTTTTACGAGACAAGAATAGAATTCTATCGAATGAAGCTCGACTGGATCTTTGGACTGTGTTATTTCGACGCGATCTATACGTGTGCTCCGTTTACATTGTTCGGGAATATCGCTCGATGTCACGGTCGGATTTTGCAAAAGCGTGCTACACTGGGAATTTAAAACGCGTGAGAGCGGAAACTTTTGGAATTTTTCGACCGTTCCGAGAACCGAGTACAACCGAAACGATTAATGGAACGATCGAACGGTCAACCCACTTTCTCTCTCCGAGGACAAGCTTTTTCGCCCAGTCCTCGTGGCAAATCGTTTCAACGCCACTCCGTGGATCCCGACTGTGCGAATAATATAAACTGTTCGAGAAATGATCTCAACGTCGTGAGAACGACGAGGAATTTCTATATATTGTACGCAGGCGTTGCGCCGTTTTTTCCCCGCTCAGGTGTATCGAGCTGGTTGACTTTGAGTAACTGCGATCGATCTATCGATCGCGCGGTGGCGGGACGAGGAGCGAGTCTCGTAGAGTTCCGATCTCGCGAGATAGATCGCAACGGTGGGTTCGCGGTCTTTGCCAGCCGCCCAGCCGCGAAGATCGATCGGCCAACGCCGGGCGAAAGGCTCGTCGTCGGTGTGTGTGTGTGTGTGTGTGTGTGTGTGTGTGTCATTACGTTTTATCGCAGGCATTCTCGTGTGACGTCACGAAGCTATTTTCGATTACGCGTACCGTTACTCGCAGGGCCCAGAAGTGCGACGACCCGGTTCACGACACTGAAATATTGCCCCTTTCAAAGACGGACGTGAATAATTTTGCGAGCACAAATTTGGAATTTCGTGGATTCAGGCCGTACCCATCGCGATCGATCGTGCAGTCTCTGCACATAAACGGTGGAAATAGATTTTAATCGTCCTTCTCTCTCTCTTTCTCTAGTCGCTATCTGGATACGAAATTTCAACTCGATCGACGGAATAAGGGTAAGCGCACCTGTGCTCGGCGAAATATGCAATCGTGTTTATCGAGGCACAGAGAAGTTTTATCTACTCCGTTAAATCGATGGAATACGACAGTCACTTCGTGTTTTCACTTATCACACGCGTGTACTGTATATACATGTATACACGCGAAGAGGCTTTGCAGCAGCGACTTGTGTTTTTGCGCGCGTCACAGTCTTATGCACCTGCGGAACTTATTTGGAATTACGTATTT